CAAGATTTTCAACCGTGACAAGTAATTTTGGGAACCCAAATTGAGACACGTTAAAAGGGCTTAATTTTCTCATAGTGGGTGCTGAGCACGTTTTAAAAATCAGGTCCCGCTACGGAATAGCAGATTCAGCATGGGTCCCTGTCTTTCAAAGCAATCAGTTTTATGTTTCTAACTTGAGACTTCCAACCAAAAGCCTCAGTAATCAACGACCTCAAGGGGAAAGCACACGCAAGCAGCACAACACCCCGACTTTGGCAAAGTGAGGTTTGATCCATGCAGCCGGATGATCACTGCAAGCAGCACCCCGAATTCTCTGGCAAACAGTGACCCTGACTTTCTAATTATGGAACCAGGCTCACTCTAAGCCTCTGACTCACCAGAATGAACCGAGCAAGGAGGATTTCTGCACCGTCCAAGAGAAGCCATGAACAGCTCTCGCCGGCCTGCCTGCAGCACCTAGGACTTGTCAGGGAGGGCGGCGTATCTTATGCCTTCTGGAAAGCCCCCTGGGGTCACAGCGTTAGCACTGAGGCGTCTCAGATGACTTCTAAACAGAAACGGATGCTCGAGGCAACTGCCGGCCAGTCACTTTATATTAACCCCTCTTTGTCCTGACTCCTGGGTCAGCTCTTCGGCTAATATAAACGAGCACAGCTGACCACTGGTCTGGTATCTATATCTCCTGGTCAATTTGTGACTGGGCTGCAGAAACGTCTGCTCCGTCCAGCAGGGAAAGAGTTAATTCCTTGCTCACCCTCCCTCCCTCCCATCCAGAAGCAGGTGGTGGAAGGCTGGTAGATCCCTTAGGGGCTCTTGATTGAGCACCAGGAGGCCAAGGAATTAGGTGCTATTAGCATTTATAAAGCTGCCTGTTGGTGAGAGAGAGACTGAGAGCCTTGCTAGCAGGACTGGTAACTGAGGAACCTGAGAGCTGGCACCCATATGTAGTAGGGGCCTGCCCGGGCCTGGTTCCGGCCTGCAAGTATCCTTGCTTACCCCTAGTGCCCCCTGCACTTGCCAGGAGGTGGGCATCCCACGATGTGTCCTTGACTTTCTTGTAGTATCTAGTTAGTTCCCAGATAAATAAGATTGGCATTGCAGACCTAAAACGGACTTCATTCCAGGGCCAGGTTCAGAGACCCTTTTACACACTGACTCCATCTTACTCTATGAGTAGCCCCGATGAGGTCAGTGGGACCATTCATGGAGGAAGGTGCTACCAAGTTTTCTCTTTCGCCTTTTCCGGTTCATGGAGGATTTCTCCGCACCATTCTTTTCCTGCTTTATTCCAGCCAGGGTGGGGAATGGAGCATGATCGAAGAGCGGCCAAACTCTGAATTGGTCTGCTCTCCCCAGTGGGAGCGGCAAGTGCTCGGTATCAGGCAGGAGAAGGCCCATTACAAGCAAAACTGCTTCTGACTCACTTTTGGCTTCATCCTGTTTCCATAGAAGTCCGTGGCAACTTTCCCACTGGCTGGCACAGAACAGGATCAAGTGCTTAATTCCATGACATCCCGTTCACGGGAGTGGCGATGGAGAAGCTTGTTCTTCCCATTGCAAGGAACGCAAACCCCGTTCTAGTCTCTCAGTGGGGATCACTAAAGCCTGGCTTTGCAGCGTCAGGGAATATTTATACTGCACATTGACACGGGATGAGCTTGCTCTTAAAACGAAGCATTCTCTAGGAAAGCCGCCCGCGATGGACGGGGAAAGCTGGCTTTCAGAGACGCTGAGCTGTTAGTGTTAGTTTAGAACCCAGACGTTTGCAGTCATTCAAATGATCCCTTCCAGTGTTACTTTACTTTGCAAGGGCCAACCCTGAGTTTCAACTGCCCTTGGGCTGCCTTTTCTTTGCCCTTTCTTGGGTTCTTCTGCAGCCCCTCACTCTTCACCAATTTAATTTTGTGCCATCTGCAAATGTTACCACCTCAGTTCCCGCCCGCCCTTTGCCAGATCATCAATAACTATATTGAACATCAGCCCAGGTACTGAATCTTGGCCCACCCCCTGCTGTCAGCCTGGCGCCATGTTGAAAATTGACCGTTTCTTCCCATTCCTACGTTAGATTCACTGCAACTGAGTCCTTCCTCTTCTCAGCCACTACCGGCACCCAGAATCCAAATCAATAGCCAAGTGGTGAATGCATGATGTACACTGGATTCATAGATCCCAAGGCCAGAAGGGAGCCTGGTGATCATCTAGTCTGACTGCCTGTATAGCACAGGCCAGAGACCTGCCCCACAATAACTCCTAATTCCTCATTTCTAGAAAATCATCCTGCCTTGATTTACCAATTGCCTGTGATGAAGAATCCTCTCCGAGCCTTGGTAAATTGTCCCAATGGTTAATTACGCTGACTGTTAAAAATATACCCCTTTTCTCCAGTCTGAATATTAATACTAATACACCTCTACCCCGATAGAACGCGACCAGATATACCGCGGTAAAGCAGCGGGGAGCCCCGGGACCTTTAAAGCGCCGCCCGAGCCCCGCTGCTTTACTGCGGTATAGCCGAATTCGTGTGGAGCCCTGGGCCCTTTAAATCCCCGCCCGAGCCCGACTGCCAGAGCCCCAGGCATGGGTGGGGATTTAAAGGGCCAGAGGCTCCGGCCGCTGCGGGGAGCCCCGGGCCCCTTAAAGCGCCACCCGAGCCTGGCTGCCGGAGCTCCGGTGGTGATTTAAAGGGCCCAGGGGTCCCCGCAGCGGCCCTTTAAATCACCACCGGGGAAGCCGGTCCAGTCCGGCACGGCGTACCGGCTCTTGCCGGTTCGCCGTACCAGACCGTACCCGATGTAACGCGGTCTCACCTATAAGGCGGTGAGATTTTTTGGCTCCCGAGGACCGTGTTCTATCGGGGTAGAGGTGTACTTGCTCTGACCTGAAGGCCAGTACTACCCTAGCATAACCCCAGCTCTTACAAGCATACAGAAAAATGACGTCACTATCTCTCATAACACTTTAAATAGGTAAGTCTCCTTTATTGCTGGTACGATGTTGTCAAACACATATCGATTATGTGCAGTGCAGAACAGAACAACATGCAAAACAAGCCAGTGAGGCTCATTGAAAGCGACAACAGAGGCAGCAGCACCACTATGTATAGCACCATAGAGGTGCATGGGGCTTTACAGACACAATTAAAGATCGGGGCCGAACTTTTTGAAAACGCCTAGTGACTTTTGGGTGCCTGACTTGAGACACTTTAAAGGGGCTGATTTTCAGAAAGTGCTTCGCAACCCCTCTCTGAAAATCAGCCCCCTTTGAGTGCCACCAGTTGAGCCCCCAGTAATTGGAGCACCCAGAATCACCAGGCGCTTTTGGAAAGCTTGGTCACAGCCCCTGCCCCGAAGCACTTACAGTCTATGCAGGGCCATCCCTAGAGATTGTGGTGCCCTACGCAGCCCCCCAGGTGTCCCAGGCCTCCGCGGGGGTGGGGGGATGCACCCAAGGGCTTTGGGAGGCAGGAGCAGCCAGTGCAGGAGGGCAGCAGGGGTCATCCCCCGCCCCTGCACTCACGGGGTGGCGGAAAGTGGAGCAACCCGGCCCCAGCCTGCTCCGCTCTGCTCCCCCGGCTCCCAGGCTTGGGGGAAGGGGGGGAACCGCCCCCCCCCCCGCACTCACCGGCGGCACGGCTAGGAGCCGGCAGGGCGGGTTGGGTCTGGGTCGCTCCACTTCCCGCTGCCTGGTGAGTGCAGGGCAGGCCCGACCCCGACCCCTGCTGCAGTCCCCCGGGACGCCTAGCTCAGGGGATGGGGTTTGGGGGGGGAAGAGGGGGAGTGGGGGCGTGACTGGGGTGGAGCAGGTGTGGGAAGAGGTGGGGTGGAGCAGGGGTGGGGGCCGTGGGGAAGGGGTGGGGCAGGGGTGGAGGCAGCTTTCCTGGGCCCTGCTGTGCACAGCCCTCAGCCGTCCGGGGGATCTGGCTGGCCACTAGAGCTGGATGCAGTACGCAGCTGTGTAGGGCACCAGGACATTTGATGCCCCAAATGTCCTGGTGCCCTACACAACTGCCCCTGAGTCTGTGATAGACAGGACACAGCATGAGGCAGGAAGAGAGAACTTTAGGCAGGCAGGGCTGACGGAGGTTTACACAGATTGATTAGTATCGGAGGGGTAGCCGTGTTAGTCTGGCTCTGTAAAAAGCGACAGAGTCCTGTGGCACCTTATAGACTAACAGATGTATTGGAGCATAAGCTTTCGTGGGTGAATACCCACTTCGTCAGACGCATGTAATGGACATTTCCAGAGGCAGGTATAAATATGTAGTTCAATCGGGGAGGGTGAGGTCTTCTGCTAGCAGTTGAGGTGTGAACACCAAGGGAGGAGAAACTGCTTTTGTAGTTGGATAGCCATTCACAGTCTTTTTTTAATCCTGAGCTGATGGTGTCAAATTTGCAAATGAACGGAAGCTCAACAGTTTCTCTTTGGAGTCTGGTCCTGAAGATTTTTGCTGTAAGATGGCTACCTTAACATCTGCTATTGTGTGGCCAGGGAGGTTGAAGTGTTCTCCTACAGGTTTTTGTATATTGCCATTCCTGATATCTGACTTGTGTCCATTTATCCTTTTACGTAGGGACTGTCCAGTTTGGCCAATGTACATAGCAGAGGGGCTGGCCAGACTGGACAGTCACTATGTAAAAGGATAAATGGACAGATTGATTAGGTTACTAGGTTTTTCAGGGTCTGCATTTCAGTGGATCCCCGTTCCACCGCCCCACGTCACTTTAAAAATAATGAATTTGGGCCCAAATCTTGCAATTGCATCCTCATGAGTGGATCCCACCCTTCTTGCAGACCCCGGCAATCAGGGCCTTAGGTTTGATGAAGTTGGCAGGGAAGTGGGGACGATTCTAGGAGGAAATGGAAGAACACAACATGGAGCTGGGATACAACGTCCAAGGGGAATTGCAGTTTTCTTCTTCTGGCCAAGCACAGGGCCCGCTTTGATTTAACATGACGAAGCAATTCACCTGAATTAGGTGAAACCTGATGGTGAAAGTCTGTCACATTGACTCATTTTTCCACCACAGTGTTCTGAGCATGGCTCTGCGGATCAGTTTGGATTTGACGCTGTATATGATAGGATTTAAGACAGGGGGCACAATAAGGTAGATATAGCCCACCACAATGTAAACCATTGGGGGAACATTGTCACCACAGCGATGGAGAATGGACAGTCCAATCATTGGGATGAAGAAGATTAGGACGGCACAGATATGGGAGACACATGTGTTCAAAGCCTTGAGACATTTTTCCTTGGTCGTGAGGCTGACCACAGTCTTAATGATCAGAACATATGATAGCACAATGAACACAAAATCCACACCCACCGTTGAAAGAATGACAATTAAACCATACAGGATGTTGACTTTTATATCCGCGCAGGCCAGCTTCATGATATCAGGGTGAAAGCAAAACGAGTGGGAAAGCACATCGTTCCCACAGTAGGTTAGCCTCTTGAGCAGAAAGGGTATTGGGAAGAGGGAGATCACAGCTCTTGAAACAATTGCCAGCCCTATTTTTATGATGGTTGGCTTGGTCAAGATGGACGAATATCTCAGAGGGTTGGAGATAGCGATGAAACGATCGAAGGCCATGGCTAGGAGCACCGAGGATTCCATCACTGACAGTATATGGATAAAATACATCTGGGTGAGACAGGCATTGAACTCAATTTTTCTGATCTTAAACCAAAAGATGCCCAGCGTGGTAGGAAGGGTACACAAAGCCAAGCCCAGGTCCATCACGGCCAGCATGGAAAGGAAGTAGTACGTAGGCTTATGAAGACTTTGGGTCTTCTTGATGATGATCAGGATTAGGCAGTTCCCTGAAAGGCCGACAAGATAGAACATGCAGAAAGGGATGGAGATCCAGTGGTGATTGGCTTCCAGCCCCGGAAAGCCCGTCAGGAGGAAGGTGGAAGGCTGGTAGAAGGAGGAATTGACAAGTGGCATGGTGTGCTGAAGCTGCTCCATCCCACCTCAGATGTCGCACAGCCTAGAGTTAAAAACAAAACAGCAACAAACTGCCCATGTCATTTGTCTGTACAGTGTATAAAACCCTATAACCACAATCGCCCATCTGATTACCTGCTCTGTGGTACATATGACCACATAACTACCAAAGCCCCCCATATGAGTAGAGGCTCTACTGAACCTACAGTCATGTAATGATACAAAATTGCATGTAATTACACTGCGCTACAGGGTATACAACCATTTAATAACCACCAAAGCCCCAAGTTTAGACACTGTCATGGATCACTGATGCCTCTTTATAGAATTCCTTAGGCACTAGGGAATCTCCACAGTGATTATCACCTAGACTGAGGTTATGTTGGTAAGCAGGTACAAATTGGTGTAGGGGACACCGCAGGCTCGGAAGAAGGTGAAAGTCAAGGTCTGATTCGCTGCTGTTACACCAATTTTGCAGTCACTCCAGTGTCAAAATGACATTGCAGAATGGAGATTTGAGCCCTCAGCCTCTGTGATAAATGAAGGGGGGGGGGGTAGCTCCCTTTTACAGACACCCAGCCGGCCAGTTAGCTATAAAGTCCCTCTTGGTGGCTGCTTGCTTATCTGTAAAGGGTTAAAAAGTCCCCCAGGTAAAGAAAAGGGAGTGGGCACCTGACCAAAAGAGCCAATGGGAAGGCTAGAACTTTTTAAAATGGGAAAAAAGCTTTCCCTTTGTCTCTGGGTTGTTCTCGCTTGGCTGAAGAGACAGGGGCAACAGCAATGTTGTGTAAAGTTTGAACCAGGTACGAAAAATTATCCTCCATACCTAGAAGGATTCACTGGGACAGGGAATGTTTAGACAGACGCGATCAGGTTTATTTCTTTATTGTGGCTTGTGGATTTCCTCTGTGCTAAGCTCGGGTATTTTTGTTTTCTTTTGTAACGGTAAGCTGGACCCCAGAGAGCCGTTCCCGGTGTTTAATCCCTTTTCAGTTGCTCTATAACATCTAGCAATAGCCTGATTTTCCAGATGTTTCCTTTCTTCTTCTTTTAATAAAATTTACCTTTTTTAAAAAAACGGATTGGTTTTGTGTCTTAAAAGGTCTGTGCATATGTTTTTCAATTAGCTGGTGGCAACCACTGGGTTTCCCTTTTGTTTGTTTCCTTTCTTGGCTTCCCCGAGGGAGGGGTGGAAAAGCCGAGGGGCCTCAGGGAAAACTTTCATTTTTTTTGGAGTTTTTTGAGGATTTGCAAGAGGCAGTTTTTCACTTGGGTGGTGGCAGCGTTTACCAAGCCAAGGTCAGAGAAAAGCTGTAACCTTGGGGGTTTAATACAAGCCTGGAGTGGCAGGTATTAATTTTAGAATCCTTGCGGGCCTCCACCTTCTGCCCTCGGAGTGACAGAGTGGGGAATCAGCCTCGACAGCCTCCTTCACCCTCAGTTCTGAATTTGGCCTCTCGCCAATCCACCAGACCAAGACAGCTGAGTTTCAGTTTCTGCAGCTACTGATCTACAGCCAATCCTCCTTCACTCCAGTATCCGATGGGCAGCGGAGAGGGGTAGAACCCCCAGAGTAAGGAAAACACCCGAGAGAAAGTTCTACTCAAAGAGCACCTGTGATTTTTGCGAACCATACTGTGAACCTCTCTTGCGGCACCTGTCTGAGGCTTGTATGGGGCTTTACAAACATTAGGGTGAAACTCAAAAACTTCACCAGGCTCTGAAGTCTTGTTTGGAGGTGTCCAGTGAGGCCTAGAGTTAGTGCTGGCCTGCTGGGGTGAATGTCAGCCATTAGTGCATTCAGGCTCAGGGGCAGAGATAGAGGCCAGCATTTTCAAAGGTGCTGAGCACTGTCAATTCCTTCTGATGTTAATGGGAGCCACAGGTGCTCAGCACCTCTGACAGTCAGGCTGCTTAGTTTGACACAAGGCTTTTGTTAGTTAGCAATGAGCAGGCATCAGTCTCCGCCAGGGACCTGTTTCATTCGGAAGTGCTATCAGAATCTACCCAGCGGCACTGTATGACCTGCTTCAGCACATACGCTGACCTCTAACTAATGGGTTAGGAAGGAAACTGTCCTTGGGAACAGATTACTCAGAGCCGCCTTTCACCTTCCTCGGAGGCACCAGGCACTGGATGCTACGTCACTTCATCTCTCTGGGCCTCTGTTTCCTCCCCTGTCCTTTGTCTGTCTGGTCTATTTAGATTGTAAGCTCTTCAGGGCAGAGACTGTATAGTAATTAGTGCAGTGGTGCCTTGATCTCACTCGGAGCCTTTAGGACCTATGACAATACACACACAAATTAAAGTGTTTTCTTATTCTTGGTCTAAACTGAAATGAAAGGTTCTGTTAAGGAGCCTGGTTGTCCTGGACCTAAATAATACTTAACTCTCGGTATAAAATGTAACAAGTGTGACGAGATCGTAGTTGAATGATGATAGTGCTGCAGGCGCAGAATGCTTCATTTAATAGAGCTCATTTCAGATTAACACGTGTCAACCTGTGGAACTCCCTGCCAGAGGATGTTATGAAGGCCAAGACTATAATAAGGTTCAAAAAGGAACTAGATAAATTCATGGAGGATGGGGCCTGCAATGGCTATTAGCCAGCATGGACAGGGATGGTGTCTCTAGCCTCTGTTTGCCAGAAACTGGGAATGGGTGACAGGGGTGGATCACTTGATGATTCCCTGTTCTGTTCATTCCCTCTGGGGCACCTGGCACTGGCCACTGTCAGTAGACAGGATACTGGGCTGGATAGACCTTTGGGTCTGACCCAGTATGCCCATTCTTATGTGACTGAAACCTATTCAGTGACACGTGATTTCATTCCTAGCAAGCTTTCATCCATTAGTCTCTAAACATGCTTGTAAATATGATAATGAAATCAAAAGTTTGGCAGGGACATGAATTCTCCTGCTTGGGCCATACACCAATGTCTAACCAATGGGCACTGGGAAGAAACTGTCCTCTGGGCAGGTTAGTATTGTTAGGAGTGCTAGGTTACGCTGGCACCTACTCCTCACCAATCAAGGACCAAGGCCCCATTGTGCTAGGCACTGTACAGACAAGTAACAAAGATGGCAGTCCTTGTTGATTGGCTGTAGCAGACTTGGTAGAGGGTTCTGCCCTTTACCTTTGCCGTGCTCTTGGAAGCTCTGGTGTGATTTGTGTCTGTGGCTTTGGTGAGAAAGCTTTCCCCATGAGCTGTCTCTGCAAGGAATTCTAGGGCACTCCACAATTCTATGGGGCCCGCAGAAAACCATCTCCATCCGGGATAGAGCTGGTCACTCGTTGCCTTCGCCGCCTGCCAAGCTGAACATCACGTGAAAACAGCCAGGATATGGCCATCGAATTAAGGAGCAGGGATGGTGAGAAACGTGACTGGAAACAGCCCCTTGAAACCCTGTGTGCCATGACTGTAGAGGCCAAAATTAATGGTCTGTTACTTCCATTGGCCCTGCAGAGCCGTAAAGTGGGGAGAGAGAGAACTGGAACCTATGAGGCTCAGACAGCAGCCGCAGCATTGTTAACTGAATTTCAATGGCCAAGCCTTTCCCTCGAGCTGCACCAGAGGTTCATTACATCTGTCTGGTACCATGCCCCTCGGCCGGGCCAGAGTTATTAGTGATGAGGCACTAGCCGCAAGGCTGGGTTTCAGATCTGATCAGTGCCTAGTAAAGACGCATTTTATTTCTCAACCGAATCCCTGAGCTACATGGAACCCCCTGGTGCCATTTCAGAGACACTTTTCCCGACTTTAAAGGTCCACGCCCCCTCCATAAACTATACCCCCCTTGTTAGCCACACACTGAATTTAACACATCAAGGAACCATCAAGACGCTGCTAAACCAGTTTACTCACCGGGCTGACACAGCAGTGGGAGGTTACGGCCTGTCCTCACGTTACAAAGCGGCACAATCCAGTTCCAGACCGAACGAAGAACTCACATCCGTCTCTCAGGGTGGGGCGGGAGGTATATATAACACATCCCGAAAATGAGCCAGCTGGGGTCACGTAACCAATCGAGGGTCTCAGGGGAGCCTGAGCTTTCGGAGTGTAAACGCTGTGAAATGTGCAAGGGAAAATACCGTGGAAAGTAAATGATCTTTCCATTTATGAGGCTTTCTCAGTAGAGCTGTTTTTCCCCTGCTGGCTTATTGGGCAGCGTGTTTACAGTTAGCCCTGATTTATGACTCACAAAGCAGTGGGCTGGGATACAAATAACTTTTATTGTGAGATTGAAACTGTAATTAAAAGAGTAATAAATTGTAAGGAAAACACACACATCACAGGCTGCCAAGGCAATAAGGGAGTTGAAATGGTGCCAGCCCTCCCCACCGTGCTCCGGATTTATTTAAAAATACTATGTAATGCACAATAAAAACCAGATAAAATATTACAGAGCCAGAAACAGAAGCTTTATTAGCTACTGACTCGTACAGTTCTGTGCAGTATCTGAGTTTCTCATGTTAATAAAGAGAGAAATGTTGGTCCCATGGTGCAAATGAACGTCCCCTGCATTCCTGGCTCATTTCAATACGTGTTTCCCTAGACTCATTATAGTTCTGGAACATTCAGAGGGAATCTCTCAAATGGCCTAGACATAACCTGGACACATCATGTCAGATTCGCCACAGGGAGCCAACGTCTGCTCCGATCTGCATGGGTGTGATTCCCAATGAAGTCAATAGGCGTTGCACCCATGTAAATGAGAGCAGGATATGGCCCTCCGTGTTTCTATGTCACTCACTTCTGGTGCTCCCCTGCTAGTAACAGCCCCAGACCAGGTAGTAGCTTCTGTCTGTTCCATGTCCTGCAACCCAAGTTCCACATGAGACATGCGTATCCTGAGTCAAGCATCCATCCCATCTGTGGGATTCTCTCGCGGGTGTCCCCCGGGCCCCAGCTGTCCCCATGGTTGAGTTCATAGCCTTGCTATTGGAGCCCAGATTAACACGTGTCAACCTGTGGAACTCCTTGCCAGAGGATGTTGTGAAGGCCAAGACTATAACAGGGT